TTCGCGACGACAGTTCGACTCCGGGGTAACCTCTGACACGAAACGAGAGCCTCCCGTTCCGCCCGGGAGACTCAACCCCTACGGCCAAAAATCCTCGGCCACGCCCCTCCTAGAACTCTGATCGGCGACCCAGTACAGGAAGCCGCGAGGGTGCGTGAGGTTGCGTATCACATGCTGGGCAATTGCTCACCCGCTGCCGAATGCTAATTCTGCACACAGGCCCTCTACACAATCACACGGAACAGGTCCCCACCCACTCCCGAACAACAATTTTGACTGTAGGCAGTGTCGGCCCTCCACACACCCAGACACAGTGGGCTGGCCCTCTCCTGTTATGCCACCACCACCCCCTCCTTCCCTCCCCCCCCACAGCCACCACCACCCCCATCACGGCCAACACCATCATCATCACCACCACCACTACCACCACCATCACTGCCAGCTCCCCTGCCGACATCTTCTACTACACCATCTCCTCACTACTTCTTGTTCCTGCTCTTCCTCTTCTCTCTCTCCTTCCTCCTCCAACTTGGATGCCTCCCTCTCGTCATCAACCTCACACATTCATGGTCAGGTCAACCATCGCAGAGGCCCCATCGGCAGAGGCATCCATCGTTAGATCGGTCATCGCAGATACATTTGCGGCGGAAAAGTTCCCCGTTTCCACTGCTGCCTCCAAGACAGCGGCCTCGTTTGTCCTTGGACAGCTGTGGTCAAAGGGGTGTGCTTCAACTTGAGTTTCGTTTCCCCCCCCTTAATCTTGAGGTTAGTAATGAATTCTGAAGTGATCCTCAGCCAAAACGTTGTATATATATTGCAATTCTTGAATTCTCAGTTCTGCACAATAATAGTTCTTTTTGAATCTTTTATATATATATTTTTGTTTTTTGGTTCCTTTTTTTTTTTTTTTTTTTTAAGTTTGGGGCCCCAGCAACGTGCTACCATTGCTGAATACAACGCTCAGCAGAGATGAGCAATGGGTACCCACCCGGTCACATGCCACTGGGTCAGGTCTGGGTGTAAATTAGCCGACCTGGGTTGGACATGGCTGGATTGAGGTAAGCCGGTTTGGGTCGGTGACGAGCGGGTCAGTGATAGGCGGGTGAGGGTTTAGCCTGGGCACCCGGCCCACAAGACTCAGGACAACCCACAAAGACGGCCCCCCCTCCCACCCTAACCCCTTCACTCCCAACTTCCCAAAGAAAAAAGGATATGCCTGGTCTAGCTGCCCACCCCCTCTGGATCAGGGGGAAAAAAACGATGAAGGCCCCAGACCATGGCTACGATCTGGACCACCAGACAGGGATCCGGACCGTCCGGGGTCCGGGTCCAGATATCGGTTCGGATGTGTGGGCCCCAGCCCAACGGCCAAAATTGTTTTGGGCGGTCCAGGGCGTTTGTTCACGCCCTGTGATGCCCAAAAAAAACAGTGCCTGATTTTTACCGCCCTCACCAATGATCCGGGGTCTCGGCCCACATGCGCCGTGTAGTTTAGTTTTCTACAACTGTGTGACGCCAAAAGGCGGGAAAAGAAGGTTGAATAATCTTCTTATTTGATTTCATTCATCTAGTGCCATTAGGAATCGAACTCAGGCCTTCCTTTCAACAGTTCATGGGTGTGCCACATCCTATTCCTCCTATTGGACAGACTAGACCCTTGGGGCCCTAGACATGTCTCATCTAGTGCCAT